GGGGTCACTGGAAACCAGTGCAAGAAAGGTGTGGATGGAAGCATGGGCAGACACACAGACACACACACAATGCCTTACCAGACACAAGCTGGAAAGGGTTCCCACAGTCGGAGATGTCTGCATGATCAGGCAGAGGCTAAGAGAGAGAGAATATCCATCATGATTCAGGTTCAGGACACGGATTTCCAGGAAGCCCTCTTCAGCTCACCCCTGGAATTCATGGGCTATAGGGATGTGAGGGACTCCTAAATGTTCTCTTGTCTTCCCAAAGTTAGTGAGTAAAATAATCCACATCTTCCAATATCTACAAACCCTTCTCCACCCAAGTTTTGGTGTCCCTTCTCTATCAATGGAAAAATACCTGCCCCCTTCCTTTTGGGCTGGGTTTTGAGCCTTTGAGCTCTTCCAGTACAAGTACCATGACTCATACGGCACAGGACATGGGTAAAGTAGTAGCAACAAACAGCCTCAGAAAAAAGGGGGAGGGGGTCATAGAGAAGCAGGAAGACTGGTCTTTTACCAGACTGATGCTGAAGCGTGTGCATTTCAGCTCATCCAGAGTCTGCTTCTGTAGCTGCTCAGTGATCAGGGTTATCATGATTCTCCCCAGGATCTGACTTGCACACTTTGGAGCAAATGATGGATGTCTTCCCTGTCGTTCTTCCAGACCTCACTCGTGAGCCGTCTTCTGCCACTGCAGCACCATTCTAGCACCATTGGGACTTCCCTCTCCAGTCATGCCTGCTGAGTCTGCCAATTACAGAGGGACCAGCCCCAAGTGATATTAGAAATGTACCTGGCCCAAAGGTGGAAAATGCATGGCACACATACCACAGCATCCCTATGCCAGGCCTCTGGCAGACATCATTAATTGATCGCAGCTCTTTCCTGCTAAGCCTAAACACAGCCTCAGAAACATCCTGAACTTGGCACTCCAGTTAACCAGTAAAATGAACTGGAGTTAGCAAGCATGTTGAAACCTATTTGCCACTCCTAACCTGGTTCATGCTGTGCTTTGTCTACCCAGCGTACCAGCACCAGTTAAAAAACAGCTCAAGTGAGAGAGGGATGCCCAAATGGTTACTTCCATCCTGATTACCCCAATATTTTATCTTCCAAACAGAAACAGAGAGGTACCCTTTTCCTAAACTACAGAAATAGCAACAGGGAACAGGGAGGAGCACTGGTTGTAGGAATCCTTTTTGCTTCAGACCAATCAAAGTAAACAAAGTTTTATGTTCTCTCCTAGCTTGAATGTTTGATATATTATTGTTTTCCAACAGATACTGTATATATTCTCTTATAAGATGGTAAGAAGATAGAGAAGTGGTACCAGGATTTTTCCAATTACATTTTAACTCTATACATGTTAAAAACAACAACTGTATGACTTCATTCAACTAAGTTTTTAGCCTGATCTTACTCAAAGACCATGGATTCAATTAATCAAGACTCCTTCTCATGGTCAATTTCAGCATAAGCAAACTAATTCTATCAGAGAACAGGCTTCAAGCCCACACAATTGCCTGAGGGGCCTTACTCAATGGAGGAGGGGAGGATAACCTAGTGTTTCCATATGGTTCTGCCTATTCCCAGAAATGACCAGCAGGCAGACAGCTCATCAGAGGGTATACGTAGCATTCTCTAATAGATACAGCAAGCATTCAAGAAATCTAAGTCTTGCTCCAATTTGCTATGACAGTTCTGGGAAATAACCTGACCTTTCTTGGCCTTAGTTAACGTACATGTAAAATGGGCAGAATAAATCTCTTATTAATCTATCATGGGGACACTATAACACGAAATATCAAAATGCAAAAAGCATACCATCCAGCCTGTACAAATCAGAGGAGTCCACATAGACTGCTGTTTCTCAAACCCTCCTGTTTGTTGCTCTACACAGCCTAAGAATGCCACAAGTGATAATATCATTAAGATAAATAAGGCAATTGGGTGTATCTATTTGGCTGGATGCCAACCTCCCTCACCTGAACACCTAGGGAAGCCCAAAACGGCTCTCCTGTGACCTCGGAGGCAGATCACTTTCTACTTTTGCAGGAAGAATCATCTCTACCCTATTCCCACCTCAGAGAGAGGTAAGGAAGAGCAAAGAACTACATGTAGATGTATCTGCAGTTTTTTGGACGCTGTAGGAGAAGTCCATCATCATTACAGTTAACTATTATTTTCATGCATAATTATTATTACCACCCTGAACAAAGTTCCAGCTTCCTGAGAGCTCCCTTCAGCAGCTTCCCCTATGTTCTTGTGGGAAAAGCTAAAGCTTATATCACTTCTGCTCTTGGTTTCTTAACTCTGCCCCAAAAGATCAACTAGAGACGGAACCTAACTGCAGGCTTTTCACCCCAGAGATCCCAGGCCTCAGGCTGACCAGCCATGAAGAGCAGGGAGTGAAGCAAACTCTTTCAAGCTTTTCATGAGGCATGTGGCCAAACAGCAAACTCCCAGCCCTCTCTGGGATCAAGTGAAGAGAGTGATTTTGTGTTTTTCTGCATTTTAATTGTTGGGATGTGGCCACACACGGCGGTAATTGGAACAATGCAACTACCACCACGCAACTGATACTCTCAGCCTGAGTTTCCTAAAACAGGCCAGGCTGAGAGGGGGAACAGAACGGAAGCCATAAGGAATCAAACCAGGACACAAAAGAAGGCAAACCAGCTCCGCGAGGGGCCTCCTCTTTCTCAGGCAGGCATTGAAAAAAGTGTAAGCAACCCTCTCTTGCCGCCTTCCTTCCCCTTCCATTTTGTATATCTGAGGGGCAGAGACAGCCCTGAACGTTCACTAAACAAGTTAAAACTTCTCAGCTTAACAACTGGCACAGGACTCAGCCCTTCACAGAGCAGCAGGCCGTTAGGCCCTCCCCACGGCCCCACCAGGCCCAATTCTCTATCCAGGCTTTCCCTCCACCATCAGCCCCCTAAAATAAAGACTGGACCCCCACCCCATCTCCTATTGGATGGCAGGAGCCCCTGACATTCGGGTTTCAGGGATGCTGAGGTTGTGCTGAAACCTGGAGAACCTAGGATCAAGTCAGACCAAGGGGGAGGAGAGTCACAAATCCCCTGGGGACCTTCCCCCCACGTCCCAGCCCCACACCTCTGGGGGACACTAAAGAAAAACATGTGGGAGGCAGGGAGGTGCATGAACAGGTAAGTGGGGACCTGACTGCTCTTCCTCCATATGGCTCTTGCGGGGATAGGGGTGACGAGTGGGGAGCACCCCTCCCCCCACCCCGATGAAGAAGCGAAAGGCTAGGCCCCCCTCCAGTCTGCAACCTCTCCCTCGGTTGCCCTGCCTGTCCCTGCGGGGTGGGGCATGGGGCGTCCGCTAGCCCCTAAGGGGGCACCAGGGCTCGCTCAAGGGGGCTGTCTTTCGCCTCTTCCCAATCAGCTTCCATCATCTGGCCGCGGGAAGCGAACTCAGGACGCAGGGGATGGAGAGGGTCTGGGACTTAGCACTCCGCCAACCCCTCCCCCACCGGGTCCCGTGCTCTCCCTGCGGAGGCGTCCAGAGAGGCCGTGCCGCGCGCGCGGCCGGGCTGGGGGAAGGGAAAGAGGGAAGGAGGGAGGGACGGTCGAGGTGCCCGCCCCGAGGCCCCAGCGCCACCTGCCCTCGCCACCTACCGCGGCTCCTCCAGCTCCCAGGGCCGCGGCCGGAGCAGCTCTGAGCGCTCCGTTCGCCCCACGGTGCCCTTAAAAGGCGCCGGCGCGAACCAACGGGCCCCTAAGGAGAGTGGGGGCATCGCTCTGGTTCGCAGAATCGCCCTGAACCGCCCGCGGAGGCTCGAACCCCGCGTCGTTTCTCTCTCAAAGTCTTTTTTGAAAAGTGCTGTCGGGAAGGAGCCAGGCTGTTTGATTTAGGGATGAACGTGGTTTCTTCACTATCGAGTCACCCCCTCCAAAATACTGCAGAAGGTGGACGGGCCCAGTTGGCGGCACATCTCCAAACCCGCGGGGGAGACCGTGTCGGACGAAGGTAAACAAAGCCATTCCCCTCGCCCTCGGTTCCAACATTGGCCCAAGTACGGCCCCCCACTCGATTCGGGCCGCGTAACAGAAATAGCCAAAGTTCCTCTTACCTGCTCTCCTGTCCCGCCCTCTACGGCCGCCTCTCAGAAGGAATCCCCCTTCCGCCAGCAGAGGACCCGTCCAAGGCGTGAAGGCTTCTGGGAAATGTAGTCCAAGAGCAGATTAGGGCCTGCTCTGAGTCTCAGGAGCCCCTCTTCTAGCTGCCGGATCGCCTCGAACCTTATAAACCCAGGACTTGTAACGGTTGCGGGGCCGTTCCCAATTGGTTCTGTAATTAGCCCTCACTCAAAACACTTTGTAAAGCTGAGGAGGGCCCAGGACTGTTCACGCCTCCTCCTTCCTCTACGCACCCCCACCCCCCAGCAGGATGAGGTAATGGGGTTGTGATTATGACATCATAGGCGGTTCAGTTGCTTGCGGGGGTGGGGGGGGAGGGGGGAGTATGGTGGTTACAGCTGGACCACTTTCCTTAAGACAGAAAGGGAGGGAGGAAGGAAACAGTCAGCTAGGTAAAAGATGTTGATAAGCTATGTATTTCCTCTTCAGGAAGAGGATGCCACCGTTTATTAAATTTCCACCACTACCACCACCTCCCACCTCAGCCAAAGTTTAAGTCTTTTTTGAAAAGACTGAACGTAGACGTTAGTAGGGAAGAGGTTGGGGAATAGCTAAATGGTTACTGGCTCTTACGTAAATTTGAGTCTCAGCTATCAAAGAAGGTTTAGGAAAGCAGGCAAAAATGGGGAAAGAAGTTTTAAACAATGCCTTCGTGTTGTGATCTCTTTAAAGGGCAGTTTTAGATTTTTTTTTTTTAATCGATTGGGAAGTAGCAGTAATGCAAGTAATCTTCACCGTTACACTTAGCAACACGTCCCTTGAAAGACGTCTGTTTTCTCTAAATATTTTGTGCCCCACTCAAATCTGGGACAGATATATAACTGTGATCAGCTAGAAAGTAGAACCAGTGGTGGGGATCTTCCTCACAGAGCCAGGGAAGGGAGTAGGCAGGAGCCCCAAGTCTGCAAACTGAAAAAGAAGAGTAGAGGCAAAGTGAGCTGTTTATCAAGAAAATGGTAGTGGAGGGAAGACGCACTGCACATTTCCTTGCACATTTCAAATCTCTTGGCAAAAGAGGCGGCAGGGGCCATTGAAGTATAGGAGACATGGTTTCCAATAATTGCTGTTGTGGAGCACTTATTATGTGCCAGGCACTGTGCTACATACTTTAAATATGTATTCTCATTTTTTGCTTAGAATCATCAAATGAGACAAATCTCCCTATTTGACAGATGAAATGGTCAGAGAGATTAAGTGACTGCCCATGTGGTGGGCCAAGGTAATATTACAAAGCAGTCCTTGAGGCTCTAAAGCCCGTGGTCTTCACCACTTGGTGATACTCATTTTATTATTAACCATAGTTAATAAAGTTCAGTGATTGAGAATAATAAGTTAGCATTGGCTCATTTGCAAAACATTGAAATAAATAGACTTAAAAAAAAAAACCCAAAACCCTTCATGTTAGGTTTCGAGGCCTCATTTCCAAGGAAGATTATACCCCTTTTATCAAGTATAAAATAACCTCCAATGCAGCCCAACTTTCCCACCATTACCAACTACAATTAAATCTCCTTATGCCACCTTCAGTTCTCAGATTTTTTTATTCATGTCCTATTTTTTCCTGCTGCCCCATTTTTCTTCTTTTTTTCTTCAACTGCTACCTTGAACCCCATCCTAATTTTTTCCTCATGGGTCAGACCCCATCTCTAACCCTGCTCCAGTGGGTTTTAGAAGAAGATACTACCTGGGCTCCCTTCTGGTCTCCATCCAGATTCACTGAGGGTTCCAGGACCTGGAACCAGTCATCCAGGAGGTCATCCAAATGGGTGGAACCCATTGGCTCTAAGAGATGCTCCATTCCCTGCCTAGGAAGGCGGCAGAGTCAGAGGAACATGCATCTCATTCAGACTCTCCCTTTTCAGCCAGTAAAAGCTAAATCTCTACAAAGTGAGGAGAGGTGGGGCTCAGTCCACCATTCAAACAAGGAACCAAAAATAATGCACATACCCCTCAGAACCCTGCCCTGCAGGGGCTGGCTGGGGGGGGTCCCAAGAATGTAGGGCTCTTCTCCACTGCCTGATCTGGGCATCCCAGGAGCGACGGCTGTACCTCCTCTTCTTGTTTGGTGTTTGAGGGTGAAGTCCTGGCTGTCGCTTTGCCCTGGCAATGACAAATATGTGTAAGACTCAGGTCAAGATAAATGGGCACAGCTCATTGTTTATCACAGTGAATGCGGAGGCTCAGGGATTTCCTGAGAGTCAGGTAGGACCAATGCCCTCAATTCAATAGGAAAAAATAAATCTTCAGGGGCGCCTGGGTAGCTCAGTCATTAAGCGTCTGCCTTCAGCTCGGGTCATGATCCCAGGGTCCTGGGATCGAGCCCCACATCGGGCTCCCTGCTCTGCGGGAAGCCTGCTTCTCCCTCTCCCACTCCTCCTGCTTGTGTTCCCTCTCTCGCTGTGTCTCTCTCTGTCAAATAAATAAAATATTAAAAAAAAAAGAAAAAAGAAAAAATCTTCGGATGGGATTAGCACTAAACTTCCTAAATTCCTAATATTCTTCTGGGAAAGGTAATTTAGATATTCCAACTCTCTTAGAAGTCAAGATAGATATAAAGACAGTATCTGACATCCCTTTAAGATACATACTACCTTTTTATACATTTAGGTTGCATGTATGCATGGAAACATGTAATTAGGCAAGTATGTTCTAATTAGCGAAGTCAGCTGGACGTATGAGGTAAAAATGGTTAGAAAGAAAAAACTTCAAAGCAAACTGAATAGAACTTTAAAAACTCTCATGGGCCAAGTATGATTTGTTCCATTTGAAAAAAAAATCTTGAAAATTTATTTTTGGGGCTACATTGCAGGAGAATTAGTTGTAGTAATGATGCAAATTCGTGAGAGCACTCAGATTCTAGTATCTTTCCATCACCCTACATTAAACCAAAGCCACTTGGATGACAGTTGTTGTGACCACCCACAGCTGCACTCACTTGGGGACCTGCTGCAGAAAACACTGGTAACCAGGTGTGCGCTTGCCATAATCTATCTGTTTTTGCCGCCGCTGTAGAACAATTTCATCTGTCTCTACCTCCCACCTGCAGGGGAAGTATACAGTGGCCCCATGAAGTGTGATTATGGTTATCAAAGCAGAAACCAACTCATCCCACACACATTCCCTTAACCCCCAGTCTGGTTTTCAAACTCACCTGGCATGGCAGGGCTCTGTGCTGACTCCCACACTCACCGTCTCAATCCCAGAGTACAAAGGTTCTTCACACACTTCCTTTCTGGGGAAGCAGATTCTACAGATGAAAGGGGTTTTAGGATAAAACCTAGCTGACTACACTGTACCACCACCAAGATGTGGACACCAGATAAAGATTGTATTTCTGGGGCGCCTGGGTGGCTCAGTTGGTTGGGCGACTGCCTTCGGCTCAGGTCATGATCCTGGAGTCCCTGGATCGAGTTCCGCATCGGGCTCCCTGCTTGGCGGGGAGTCTGCTTCTCCCTCTGACCCTCCCCCCTCTCATGTACTCACTCTCTCTCATTCTCTCTCTCAAATAAATAAATAAAATCTTTAAAAAAAAAAAAGATTGTATTTCTGACTTAACTGTTTCTCAAAGATAAAGGTTGCATTTCTGATTGGTTTCCCAGAGTGGTCTGCAAGACATCAGCATGAGTAGCCCTGGGAGCCTTGATAATTCCTAGGTCCCACTCTCAACTTAATGAATCATCATTTTGAGGGCCTGCATTTTAAAGAGCTTCCACGTTATTTTGAAGGTTTTTTTTTATTATTATGGAAAAATACAGAGAACACAGCATAATGTTTTGCTACTCAAAGTATGGTCCTAGGACCAGCCACATCAGCATCAGTTGCAAGCTTGTTAGAAGTGCAGAATCTTGGGCCCCAACCCAGACTTACTGAATCAGAACCTGCATTTTAACAAGATCTCCAGATGATTAGAATGCATGTTAAACTTTGAGAGCAGTGATATCATGGATCCCCAGTTACCCATCAGCTAATACTCATGGCAAATCTTGTTTCATCTATGCCCACTACTACCTCCACATGACTATTAAAATCTTCAACATTAAAATAAAAGAATAAATTCTTGGGGCTCCTGACTGGCTAAGTCAGAAGACCATGGGACTCTTGATCTTGGGATCCTGAGTTTGAACCCCACATTGGGTGTAGAGATTACAAAAATAAATAAATAAACTTTAGGGGGGAAAATAATTTTAAATATCACTTCATCAGTGTCCAAAGTTCCATAAACGACCGAAGATTGTAATCCTTTGGACTGTGATAAGGATTATGCCAAGAGATGATTCAATTCCCCCGCTTTCCCTCAAAAGAAATTTCCTTTATCCTACATAACCTAGCGTCTAAGAGATGCTGCGCTGTAAAAGGAACACCGAACAAGGAACGCTCTTAGAAGGGGCCAGAGCTGCTCAGCATAAGTACACACACCTGTCTCGTCTCAACATCTGCCATACCAGTGGAGAAGGCTCCATTTCCAACTGAAGTCAAGTAAAACGAAGAGGAAAAGACCCACGTAACGACACAAGAAAGAAGCAAGGAAAGAGAAACGTTTAAAACACCCTGCATCCAAACAAATCTCCCCAGATATTATCCTAAAGAGTGATAATCGCTCACGAATTGCAGTTTAAATCTCCCGGGGTTGGAGGGGCTGAGGGAATGGAGAGCCCGGGAAGGCTGTGGCGATTGGTCAGAGGAAGAGCCAATGGTGTGCCAGGCACCCAGGAGGGCGGGGCTTACCTCGGGGCGCTGAACGCTGATGGGCCAATGGGCATCCTGCTCTGTCTGAGGGGCGGGGAAAATTGTGTTCCTGCCAAAGCAAGCTCACGCCTGGTGATGTAGAGCCAAACGATTGGCTATGGCGGGGGGGGGGGCTCTGGGCGGGCGCGCGCAGATTGGCTGGCGCAGCTTTGAGGGGAATGGGATAGGTTTACTGGGAAGGCGGAAGGTTTGAATTGCCAGGACCTGTGACTGTTGATATTCTTGCACCGAGGCTATAACTTCGACCCTCTCCTGAGAGAAGCGCAAACCTCGACCCGAACCTATCCTGTCTAGAAGCAGAATTGTAGTCTGGTTAATTGACTCCTTTCCTCAGATTTCTTTTAATTTTGATTAAGTCTTTGCTTGTGACTGATTTCCCACTTCCGTTTCTCCTGAGGTAAGCGCAGGGCCTTCTCCACCGGAATCTGAGACCCCAGCGTCCCCTCATAGTCCGGTCGGGGTCTCACAAACAAAACTTCAGGGGACCTAAATAGTTATTGTCGCGAGTTAAGAGACCTGAATTCCTTCCTTGCCATGAGTCACGAGCTGTGTAGCCCCCGAACAGTGAAAGCCTCTTTTCATTCCTTTTTTAAAGTCTTGGGTTTGGGGCGCCTGGCTGGCTCAGTCGATGGAACGTGGGACTGTTGATTTGGGGGCCGTGAGTTCGAGCCCCACGTTGGGTTGTAGACCTGACTTGGGGCAAAAAAAAAGTCTTACGTTTACCTCTAGTTAAGTCCAGGCTCCGAGGAAAAGGCCAAGCCGCTTGGGGCACGTGCGATTTCATCTTCAGGCCGACCTGGGATTCATCGGTTGGAATTGGGATGCCCCTCCTCCAATATGAGCCGCTGGGCCACTGCTGGGAAGGGTGGAGGAGCTTATGAAAACTGGGCAGCCTGTGAGGTGCTTATGTAGATGATGTTCACCTCTTAGCTAGGTTTTTTTTCTTTCTTTCTTCCTTCCCTTTCCTTTTCTTTTCTTTTCTTTCTTTTCTTTCCTTCCTTCCTTAGGTTTCGGAGGCCATGTCTGCAGAATCCATTTCATCCGCAGGAGAGGAGGGACGCCTCAGCTCAGGACCCAGTTTTAGATCCAGTCGGAGGAAGATATTAAACCTGCTTCTGGAGAGAGACCCTTCCTTTACCACCTGTCCAGATCTCCCTAGAACTCCAGTGAACAAACTCTTTGGTGATTCTGCAAACCTAAGCGTTTTGTCTGGGTAAATTCACTTTT